AAAAATTTTCCGTGCAGCATACTAACCATGATGCCCTCAACAAACTTGCACAATGGACCTATGACCCTGCAATGAAAGAAGGCATGGCCAATGGTCTCCACTGCTTTATCACAGCGAACGCAGTTTGGAGACCTTTCCAAAACTGCCGAACAAAGCTTTTGGAGGGCCCCACAAATCACCAGCCAGGTGAGTAATGCCTCAGTATTAGTGAGACATTTCAACCCAGACGCCCAAGGCCATATAGAGTGAACCTCCAGCTTTGTCAAACTGAGATCGCCTATAAAATCATCCTGATAAAATCATCCCTCTCACTAACACCTGATATAATGCCTTACGGGACAATAATTGGATGTTAGAGAGGCCATCCGTCACTCATAAGAGGTACTTGAGGGTAAGCCAACATTTGCGATAGAAGGAGCACTTGTTTCGGGAACAGCCAGATCCTCCTTGCACGAGCACACACTTCTCAAGGATGGGAAGTTCATATAGGCGTCTTCCTTCCAGAATTTGCCATTCTCATCCAATTGCAAACACATCTGGTCCAGGTAAGAGATGTGAAGCATATGTCAATGAATCTCAACACAAGGCACACTCAGACTGCTCAGATCTAATGACATACATTGGGAGTCTTGCCTCCCCACAGGAAGGAGAACAAGAGTCTTATGAAATCCAATAGAATGGCAGATAGGATTGGAAATATGGAGAGTTGGTAAAGGAGAATCAGGTAGATGTGACAGGCACATTCTTCCACCCTCCCCTTCAAAGTGCCAAAGTATGGCTCAAAGCCAGTGGCAAAAAGGACAGCCACCAGAGATCAATGGTCAACCCTATTGAAAGCCTTTTACTGATCTAAATTGATCTGCATGGCATTATTGTTAAGTTGCTCAATGATCAAGCATACCAAATGAAGGTTGTCTTGAATAGTCCTGCCCTTACAACATAAGTCTGCTTGGGGCCAATCAGACTAGAGAGGACAGCCTGTAAATAGCCAGCTAAGACCTTTGCTAATATCTTCAACTCTGTGTTTAACATCATCAAAGGCTGATAATTACTTATTTTGCTCTTGTGAAGCAACTTGATCACACTCCTGGTGAATCATTGAGGTATAGACCCTTGCTTCATCCACTTGTTATGAATCAGTGCCAGAAAGGGGACAAAGACAGGTTAACTGACTCAAGTACATTTCATAAGGAAGATCATCTAATCCCAGAGTTTTGTCCAGGACAACCTGCTTCAGTGCATCCCAGATCTCAGATTCTGTAATGGTACCCTTGCACCCAGCTGCTTCAGCCACTGGGCTCCCTGGTAAAAAGCTTCTGAAAGTAGTCTCAGAAAGCCTAACATATGCCCATGTCTGTAGTCATGGTCCACTTGTCTGGCAATGTGATGCTCATGGTATGTTGATTGGATGCATTTTGAGCTTCTTCTGCACACAATTCAGCAGCCATATTCATTGCCCCAAAAGACATTCTTTTTAGCCTGGCCCTAACTACTAAAACTTGATCCTTCTTGATAAACAAGGAGGCCAGCTCCACCCTAGCTAAGGCTATATTCCCACTATCATGGAATTTGTGCTACTCATTTTTACTGTTGCTGCTGTTGAAAATGTTCAAGTTCTGTGATTTTTGTTATTTGGTAAAGCTTTCATAATTTTGTAGCAGCAATCTATAGGGTTTAATGAAAGATTGTTTTCTTTAAGACATAAAGGATTTATTTAATGATTAAAAATGGCTTCAAATAATCTGAGAAAGCAGTTGCATGAAGATGATAGTTTAAACATTTTTGAATGAGTTGAATGCTATGCACAATATGTGAGTCTAGATTTAACAAAGTTTTTTAATAGCAGGACTCTCATATTCAGATCAATATTTTGGTTTTATAGCACCTTACAGTGTTGGACAAAAGTACTCTTAGCACAACATATCACATGTTCAGTTTCCTTATCTCTGCTACTAAATTTGTTATGAACTGATCTATAGCAATGTGAAAGACAACAAAGTATCAAGAGGATTATGTGTAAGGCAGTTGTTATTGTGCAGTGACTGAAACATGTTGAGACAATGGGAGAAATTATGCAGGGTTAACTAAAAAATTGGATAAAAAAGCTAGAAAAAGATTGAATGTAGTATTATTGGATCTCAGATAATGTTCACAGTTAATTCACTGAAAAAATGGACATAGCCTGGGATAAACAATGGCTGAAGTAAGTAATTTTCACCCCAAGCAAACAGGACCTATAAGAAAGCCTAATTTTCTTGCTGAGTTTTGGATTTTAATATCTCTCATTCAGTTGGGGGGAATTCCCTCACATTCTTCTAAAACTGGAGGGCATATGCAACTGAACTGAGCTAGCCATTTATTTAAATTGAAGATATTTTTAAATATGATTGTCATGGTATTCTCCTTACCTCAGTACTAGTTGAAAAAACTGACATTATTAAATTATTAATATTAAATTATTAATAAATGTGTTAACGTTTAAGATGTGTCTTAGGATGACAAATCAGGACTAGACATCTGGCAAGAGTTAACAGATAAAAGGAAGTACTTGTAAGAATATATAGATGGATATGAATGTTATTTTGCATTGATATACACTAAATAAGCATAGCCTTTAATCTTTGAACACTGCTAGCAAGTTATGTTTTTAATAAAATAAAGATTCAGTCACTTACAAAAAGAGCTGATTAACAGATAAATAACCCACTCACAACCTTGAAATATCTTGTTTTTATTTTAAAAGTTGTAATATTTTGAGCCAAATTTTGCCTCCTGGGAGGTTACTCTTATGAAATACGAGATTAAATCCAGTGTTGTATGTAATGGGTTTAATATCATAACTTAATTTCCAAACTATGCTCTTATAAACATATTTTAAATGCTAATAAAGAGAAAAATGGATGATAGTAAATGAAGTTATCATTTTTACATATACTGGATGGCTGGTAGTGTTTTATGGCATATCGATCTTTTCCAGGTTATTTATGGTTTAATTCTGTTATGAGAGACAATAGATAAGTAGACACAGGTTCTGTTTGCACAAGAGTAAAAAGGTAGACACACGTCCAGGTTGCATGAGAGTCAAAAAGGTGGACACATATCTGGCTTGTACAAGAATCAAAAAGATAAATACATGCCTGGTTTGCATGATAGTCAAAAAGGTACATATATGTATAGTAAACTGCTGACCCCATTTTTGGGGGAAGAGAGGCTTATCCCTCTAAATGGGTATGCAATTAGTGTATTCTTAACCTGAAATGACAAGGTGAAGTGGTAGTTCTGAAAGGTGGAGAATGAAAAGATTTTTTACTAAAGGGTACAATTTACTCTTGACAGAATGTAGAATTTGTGGTCAGTTAGCTGGATTTGGTTGTTGAGGTGCAAAATGAATTTTTCTCTTACTTCAGAAACAAAATGATTCTACTGTTTTAAAATCCGTGTTTTCACCCAATGAATTTTATTTATTTTTCCCATTTTTCTCAGTTGACTAAAATATATCTTGACAAACTTTGACCTTTGTGCCCAGAAAAAAAATGGAGTATCGAAAGGACAGTTTTTCCCTTGACGCCGCTATTATTCTAACTACCTTCCATCCTTGGCAACGTTTGTTGTTCAAAAAAGTGATTATTAGAATTGGAATAAAACCTAAACATATGATGAAAGTGAATTTATACATTTGTTTTTGTTCTTGAGAATTTACAACAAAAATATTAAACATTTTTAGATTTACAAGAATAATTTTATATTTACAACATTCAGTTATAACTAATACAATGCAATATTTATCATTTAACATTTTCCAATTTATAAAGATGTAAATATGAAATTTTTTATTCATAAATTTATAAACATTTACTAAATTATTAAAATGTTAAATATGTTATTATTTACCATTTTATAAAGTTGAAATTAATTGGCAAGTAGACGATGTTTTGCTAACCATTCCAATAGACATTATAATAAATAAATAGTGTTTATTATTTTTGTCGTCAATTCTCAAGAACAAAAAAAATGTATAAATTCACTTTCATGTTTAGGTCTTATTACAATTTTAATCATTGCTTTTTAAAAGAAACATTGCTGAAGAGTGAAGTTATTTAAATAATACAAGTGCCAATGGAAAAAACATCCTTTTGACACACTGTTTTTTTGTGGGCGTGAATATCTTTTTTCTGTTTGATCTTCATTTTTGCTATCAACTGGAACCAAGAATCCAAAAACACTGATCTTAACTTTGCAGAAACTCTTGAAGTTCAAGCTGATAAGTTCCAACTATAATATAGCGTTCTACTGACATTTAAATATTTAATAATTTCCTTTGCATATATTATTCTTAATGTGATCAGTTATAAAAATAATTGAAACTTTGCAAACAGCATTATGTGGGTAATTGAATGACAAAATGGAAAAATTCCTATGTTATGTTTCGTCTTTTGAAAGGACTTTTTCAGACTAGTAGTAGTTTCATTGATAGTCATATATATGGCAGTAGGAGAAATGCAACAGATGCTCATTACAATTTTACATGCTTAATTTTAGATTTAGTTTTCTAAATTTTTGGCATCTGATGTATCTAGATGCATAACCCAGTTGGCCTCATTCAGCTTTCTACTGCTTTTATTTTAAATGTCCCACATTGTAATAGCAGTAGTTTTGTTAAGAAAGTAATCAAGCTTGCAATGTTTCAAAATTTTTGAGACTCTTACTATTATATTTCTCATTTTTATCAGATCTATTATTTTTAAAACACTTGATATATTACAAAGCTCATCTTGGAGATAATTACTATAATAGTGAGTTCAAGTTGATCTTGGTAATCCATTATTGACTTATTGCAACAATATTTTTAGATTACCTCTCCTTGAAGTTGTGGTCAGCTAGTTTTGCAGAATGTTACTACTATCCTTATTGAGTGCCCCATATTTGTGCTTTTGTGTTAGACTAAGCTAAGTTTAATGGGTATCTATCATAAACCTGATTTTTTTTTTCTATTCTTGCAGAAAAATTCTTGTTTACTTCCAAATGACTTGAAAAATTTTTATCTCTGCTGTAATGGCATGAAACTAACCTGGTCAGTCAAGATGGACAGTAAGTACATTTGGCAAAGTTTAACATTCATGCCCACAAGAAAATGTTTTTTCTGCTGACACATTCCTGTATACTACCAAGACTCCTTTGGCAATGTTTCTTTACAAGATTATAAAAATATGTGAAATTTCCATTTTATTCTTTATCATTTTATAAAGAAATAAATTTGAAAAGAAATCTTTTTATTCAAAAATTTTTAATCTACAAAATTATCAAGATATGTGCCCCAACTATAATGCAAAATTTATTATTGACCATTTTATAACTAAATAACTATGAAAACAAGTATTTTATTCATAATTTTATAAAAATATCTATGAACTATAGAACAAGATAATTTAAATAAACATATGAATTTTCCAGACATTATAAATTTTCTTTTCAAATTATTTTATATCTCAGATTACTTTTTGTTTTAATTTTGCATTTTTTTTTATAACTGTGATCTACTATTAAGGATGCCTAATTGATAGAAATCCAAGGTCTGAAACTCAACCAATTATAGGTTACTATCTTCATATTTTTTTTTTTTTTTTTTATGAAGAAATTTGAAATGAAGAGTGGATACTAAGGACCTTGATTAAAGCAATTGGCAAAATTATTGTGTTCTTTGGAATAGTTGGCAAAACATTGCCAGTCGATTTGAATGCTATAAAAGGATAAATAATAAAGATATTTCATTAAAGTTGTTTCATGTATTTTTAGAATTTAGTAAATTTTTATAAATTTATGAATAAAAATGTTGTTTTCATATTAATTTCTTCATAAAATGGTAAATAATAAATATTGTATTAGTCCGTTCGCTTATTTTTATAATGTTATTAAATATAAAATTATTCTGGTCTCATAACTAAATAGTGTTTAATATTTTTGTTGTAAACAAAGAAAATGTATAAATTCACTTTCATATATTTAGATTTTTATAAAATTCTAATCATTGCCTTTTAAAACAATAACCACTGATGAAGGAGTGAAGTGAGTATACAATAATAGCGGTGTCAAGGAAAAAAACATCCTTTTGACATCCTTCTTTGGGGGGGACAAAGTTTAAACTTTGACATGCATTCTTTTCTATTTTTGTCAATTACTCTGTTAATGAATGATTTTTAGCATTATTATTTTACATATATTTAAGTACCTCCAAAGAAAAGTAATGGCTAAGGTTTAAAATGCATTTTTAACAATGAAAAATCTTTCTTGACACTTTTATTTTAGTTTTAATTTCAATTAATAAATTAAATTTAATATTTCCATAAGAAAAATACTTTAAGGAATCAGCACATATGCTAGGCCACAGAAATCTCCTGAGCTGACCAAGCATAGAAATAAATACAATATGGACACCAGTAATAAGGAGTGCCAGAGAAAAGCATTGATAACAACAAAGTTGCAATATGAGCTCTGGTAAAAACATGCAATGATATCAGCAAAAATTGCAATATGAGTACTGGTAAAAATGGTTGCTGAAGACATTAGGTTTATAATACCCAGAAATTCATACTCAGATGTCCTCAAGGACACATGGCACAGTGGATAAAGGCGTTGGTTAGATCCAGTGACAGGACCCAAAGTGTGTGAGTACAATACCCGGTTAAGGCAGTGGAGAACTTTTAGAGGGAAATTAACAGGAGGTAACTGATAACTGACATCCATCAAACATGGCACGTGGAACTAGAACAGTCTAAAGGGTTCCAACCACCTGAAGAAGGCCGGAGCGTACAACGGCCGAAACGTTGTGATAGATATGGCGACAAAGATGAGGACAATAGTCCAAATAATGTAAATAATGTACATAATACCTCATCTCGGAAATATAGACAAACTCAGAATTTTAAAAGATTTAAAATTTATAAATTATTCTAAATAAAATTTTTTAAAAAATGAAAACAATTCTTGTAAAAATTCATTCATCAAAAAAAAATTTGTTCTTAAGACAAAAAAAATGCAATTAAGCAATTAAAATATTTTCTAATTAAATAATGTCTTGTTGCATTTCTTATTTTATGATTCAGAGCAGATTTTCTGTAACTGGAAGTCTTGTTTGACCAAAAGAATTTCATGATTTAAATTCTCTGAGAACTAATATAAACATTAAGCACTACAAAGCAGAATTTCTTGAAATTTCATAAAATTAAATAAGTGTAGTTTTTTAACAAATATAAGGAAAAATATTTTTTTATCAAGAATAAGTCCTGAAAGTTTCATTAACTTTTAATACACTGCATTATTCACTATTTTCCTTTCCACTGCATTGTTTTTCAAGGCTCCTCTACTGCACTACTTAATTTTAGTCATGGTCTTTTTCTGTTGTCATAGCAGGATATGACAACATAACTGCAAAATTCAAGCATGCTATTATTCATTCATTTGAGTTACGTGCAGTGGCAGGATAAAATTTTCACTTTGCAAGCAAAATCATCTCCAGTATGTTATCTGGTTTTTGTAACAATTTCTAAATAAGTGTTTTGCATCACAAAAAGACACTAAAATTTCCCATACTAATTTATAATCACTTGTTGATGCACGCAAAACAAAATTTTTAAGCAAAGTTTCAAAAGTTCTAAAAAGGATCAAAAAATATAATTTAATAATCAAAAAATCCTTTGGTCTGTCCTCTTAATAATAACATAATGATTTTCACAAGAAAACTTTGTTTTTATTAAGTTTTGGGCATTTTTTTCATCATGTACATTCAGTTTTTAGTGAATATTTGGAGGTATCTATATGTATATATTGTTCTTTCATGAGTGATGTTCTTTAGAGCAAATAATTGTAATTATTTACTATCATCTAGTTTTTTTTTTTTGTGTTATTTTTGTTTCCTATATTCTCTTATGAGTACAGATCTGTATATTTATTTTTGTAAAGTTCTCTTCCTCCTGAGTTTTATGCTGGCAAATAAATACCTAGTCATTCTTTCACTTTCTTACATATTACTTCACACTATTAGTTTATGCCAACACAATCTCATCCTCACATTTCCTAACTTGTAAGCAGATAATATTTATATTTTTTTTATTTCTTGAAAGAATTGTAACTTGTATTTTGGATTATAAGAGTTACTCTGATATATCATACTTATAGGAACTATCAGTTAATTTGTAAAATATTATGTATGTGAAATATAAACTTTTGATCATTTAATTTAATGATATTATAAAGTAATGAAATCATGTATGTAAAAATGATACTGCTATAGTGTTCTTTTGTCACTTTAGAAAATAGAACCTTGATTTATAAGTGATTCTTTTGAGATATATGAAAGTAAATTTAGTGCAAAATGATTCCTAAGATGTGTGCACCAAGATGTACTTTAAATTAATCTTTGTATTACTTCATTATTTTACAAGACGGTGCTGAAAAATTCTTGGTCTGACCAAGACGGGACTGACATAGAACCATGAAACACACATACTATTCCATGTATTCACTTTACATTTAGTAGACTGTTTCTCAACTCTCTTCCAAAATAAATTCTAATATTTGGTCATTGAAATCACCTCTGTTCAAAACTCAATTTAAGACTTCAAAAAAGAAATAATCAGATGAAACAAAATCTGTTAAGTAGAGTAGAAGATCACTGTAATCAAATTCTAAATTTTTCAAAACTTTCATTGTCTTGCTAGATCTGTGAGCAGATGCATTGTTCTGTAGAAAAGAACATGTTTCTGCAGTTTATTTTACTGTTTTTCATTCAATGCTTTCTCTATTCAACAATAACTTAAAGTGGTATTCTGCATTAACTGTTTGATCCTTCTGAATATTGTCAGTCATCCTTACCATAATGTCCTTATCTAAAAAATAAAAAGATGACCAGTATTACCACTGCATAGACTGTTGTTTAGTCTCTGGATCTTAGGGATTTGTAGCTGAATTATCACAAGTCATGCCTGTTGCACTGGCAGTGTCCCTTCAAGTAACTGCTCAGTGTTAACAAATGCTGGCTTTTATGGTGTCTAGTGAGGTCACTACGCAGATTTTCAGTCACATGAGGCATCACTCAGTCCACACAAATGTAAAACAATATATTCTGTGGATAACTCTACCTTGACAGTATTTTTTTGCCAAGATTTGTTGGTCTATTGAAATTAAGTGATCAAAAATTTTAGGTGTTAACACCATTGAAGGTGTCCCTGATTGAGCTGCATCTTAGATCCCAATATCTCAACATGGGAAGCTGGTATACAACTTCTTTACAGTTGAGTATGATAAGCACTTGTCACTCAATGTTTGAATCATATCATCATAGATTTCCTTTGGGGGTTTCTTTTGCAGGAACAAGGACTTAATGACAGCCTGTGGTTCAACACCTGAAAATTCCACTATTCGTTGAAGTGGTTCAGTTAAAGATCTGAAACAAATTAAAAATAAGCACAAAGATCTTGCAAATTGGCACTTTAAAATATAAAGAAAACTTCTTTCATCTACAGTGACAATGCTCGGACTTGAGAAGTGGGTTGTGCCAAGAACTTTTCAGCACTCATTATAACAAAAAATGTCAGTTTCTGGAGTTGTGTAAAATTTCTCTATCAACAGGTTCTACAGTTCTGCCTTTGGGTTTAATCTATTTGCACTCACTGAACCAAATCAAGCAAATTGACCATAAATTCTACATCTATCAAGAAAAAATTGTGCCTTTTAATTCAGATTCAGAATCAGATGATGATAGTCAAGGTAATGACATTTTTTTAACAAAATTCTTCTTTTACCATTGTCACTGTCATTTTTATTAACAATGTTTTAGGATTAAAACATCAGTAAAGTTGTCCAGCTTTAAATTGTACTAGATTTGAAACAAGGTCTCATCATTTTATATTTGAAGTGGCTAGATGTAATTTATAAAAATTATTCTTTCATTAGTGCCATTATCATTACAAGTCATTATAGATTTATGCATTTAATGAAACTTCATTATCTTGAATATTTTACCTTTTCTAATGTAAATATTCTACAGCTTTTGCCAATACCTCTTAATCTGTTCTTTATTTTCTTGGATTAAGTCAATCCAGATACATGTCCATATTTATGTAGGCCCTGTGAAGAATTACATTTGTGATTCATACCTTACAATGTCAGCATACTTTCCACAAACTTAGACATCTGCTTTTTAAAGTTTCTTTAAATTAGATTAAAAGCATACCTTGTTATCACCATTATTTATATAAAATGTATAATCATAAATTTATTCATGTGTAAATTATCTAAATTTCTTAAAGTATTCTCATTATTAATTTTTAAGATTACTTTTTTCATTTATCTGATTTAAAAGAAAAATGAGTAAAAAATGAATAATAATTATTAATGTGTTGTTCAATTTTATTTATTCCATCAATTATTCCGACCAACACCATTTGTTTTCTTTTCACCATAACATTTCAGCCAATATATTCTCTAATCTTCTTTAGGTGTGTTTTGCACTTGTTTTAATTCTATGGTTTTTTTAAAAATTTCACTGACTGATGGAAGAGTTCGTATATTAGAACATCAACAATTTATGCTGATATAATAAACTATATAGTCAGTTTGAAAATCTAGACTATACATATTGAAAAGACTAACATATTTGTTTAATTTTTGTATAGTAGGTAAAGGAAAACTTTACTCTTCACAACAATTATGGAAGGTCTTAATGACTATTATTTTTATTGAATTTTTAGCTCTCCCTAGCACTGGTTTTCATAATTGTTACACTCTATCTACTTACACTTTTTAAGGGGGACAAGCTTATATCTGCTGCATTTTTTCTTTTGTATACCTCTTTATTTAGTGTTAGTCCAGAGAGGATTATGTGCCCTCTTTTTATTTTCTATATGGTCTACCTTGTCTGATTTAATGGTATCATCTTTAATTATACATTTTAATTGCCCTTCAAGTCTAATTTTTCAGGGATGGCTAGTTTCTTTATTTTATTCTATATAATTTTGTAATGTTTACTTCATATAGAAGTCTGACATTTGTGAGTTGTGTAATATAGTTTTACTACCACCCGATATTATACTCACCACAAATTCTCTGAATAATTCCCGCTTTTTTTATATAAATTTGTATCAGTGGTAGGATTCCAAATTTTTGTGAACTGATTCATTCTTTCTTTATGTTCATAAACCTATTGTCTTCTTCTTTTATGCTATTCAGGACGTAGGCGATCATGGCCCTCCACATCTTCCTGTCCCTTTTGGCTCTTAATGTGTTTTGTCTTTTTGTTATTTCTCCCAAACCCTGTTCTGCCATCCATTTGCTCAAGCCCATCAAGTATGTTATGCACTGCTTTCCTTTGTTTCTCTTTCCCTAAATAAGAAATCAATTAGAAAATATCTAAGTAATAAATTTAATTATCACCATATTTCAAATATTTATATATTGACATTTGATTATCATCATGTTTTTATTGTTTTTATGTCTGGGTTTTTTCCAGCTATGTGAGTTTTTTTCAATCGCACTTGAATAGAATACAACCATGAATTCAATGGAAGGCCAACCAAATTAATTACCATGGAATTTGCCACATTTTTAACATCAAGACTATTTATTTTACTGGAATTGATGGGTGGGTAGTGAAGTTTTCCGCTTGACCAAGAAACTATTAAGGAATTAATTTGGTCAGATTTTAAGAAATGGATTAAACTAAGATCTTTTTGTATGAAGCTAATTATTGAAAATTCTCTTTCTGTCTCAATAGAACTCAGAGCAATAATATTTTTACTCTTTTGTACTGTTTTTGTTTTAATTTCTTCATTATGGCAATTTTAAATAACATTTTCTAAATAATCACTAAAATCTTTAACAGATTTTATGGTGAAATTGTTTATAAAATTTATTGAATTTTTCTTCGTCTGATTTCCCAGAGACAACCACTTCATCAATATTCTGAGAATCTGGGTGAATGATGTTTACCATTCATGAATTCTACTGTTAATGTTTTCATCATTATTTCTTAATTCCATGTTATCAGAATCCATCAAATATTTTTATTATTGCATCTAGTAGTTCTTGGTGAGAAAGGCTTATATATCTCTTTTATTTTCAACAAACACAATATGCAAAATATCTCAAAAGAAATGTGTTTATCTATTTTCCTTTCATAGACATCTTTTGCTTTCAATGAATTTTTTGAATGCATTCATTGCTTTATTTATTAATTTTTCAGTTCATGATAAATTTAAAGTTCTTGCTTCAGGAGAATTTGAAAGTAAGGAAATTCTGTCTGATTTTCTGGAATGTTGAGTTATTATTTACATCATTTCTTTCTAGACTGATGTCTTCATCTTTGTTAATGTTATCACACTTTAACAATTTTGTCCCTCCAGCCTTCTTCAGTTATCTGGCAAGCTAGGTAACCTTCAGGGAATTTTAAACTGAACTCCACAGGAGTAGACTGTTCTTGGTCCACCAGCCATATCTAGGGATATCATTGTTCTTTTTTTATTGTTGCTTGGTTATTGCTCACCCAGTTTCCACTGAGTCATGTCTGTAGTACCTGGCCCAAGGATTAAACCTAGGGGATTAAAGTGTTGGTTCATGAATTTGATGACATAGTAATTGTGAGTTCAATCCTAGGGCCAGGTAGTACAAATTTAGATTCAGTGAAAACATGATGTACAATAACTGAGCAGTACTAAAAAAGAACAAGACAAAACATCCCTAGATATGGACAGCAGATTGAAAATAACCTATCCCTGTTGATTAAATAAAAGGTTCAGTTTGAAATTCTTTGAAGGTTACTCAGATCAACAAAAGGGCCCAATGACTGAAATATGATAACAATAAAGATGAGGTCATTTGCCCAAATGTAAATAATATAATTATGGAAATTTCTTCTAGTGTACTTGTCATATGTCTAAATTTATTAGAAAAGACATAGAAAGAAATCCATTTCAGCATGTTTTTCTGTAGTAGAAAATATTCAATGTTGGATAAATGTGCCATATTGCAACTACTGATCTAACATTACAAGCAGAGCCCATCTTAATCCTAAAACTCTACCAGTTTTTAGGATTTCTAATCCAAATTGGCCTTAAATTTTAATATGTTCCATTTGTTTTTATATTTGATTGGTGAAGTATCCTGTATATCAATAGTCATTCACTTAGTAGTTCAAGGGGAAAAAAGTAGAACTTACACTCACCTGGGTTTCTTGCAAACTTAGTCTGAATGGAAATGTAACAAATCCTCATTTTATCTTTCATCTCTGTCTTTGTTTGCTATGCCAAACAATAGCCTTTCATACATCATCTGTCTTCTTTTTCCTCTTCACTGCTTTTCCTTGACAACACATTCGTATGAATCTTGCAACTATCAAAAAGAAAAAAGAGGCCACCTCTCTATCTCTCTCTCGACTTTTCTGTACCCACTGCCTTTACCCACAATTCTCCACTGCTGTTGGTTGTGGTTGCCACCATCAGTATTTAATCCCTCACTCTACACCTTAGTTCTTTGAATAAGTTTTTGGTTTTTTAATACACATCTGTTTTCAAAACAATTTGCAGACAATGGCTCAAGCAGTACAATATTATAATCTCAGAAAAATTATTACAAATTTTTTCCACTTCTTCCTTTAAATTTTTCTAAATTTTGTTATTTAGTTTTAATATTTGTTTATTTTCTATTTATTTCTTGGGGGGGTAATTTTACTTGATGTAATTCTAAATTTTATTTAACTTTTTCTAATACTTTGTTACTTTTACTGTCCTTTATTTAACTTTTTTTGCCTGAATACACACACACACACACACACATCTGAAATTAACTTTCTAACTTGTCATTTTTGGTAGATTATTGAATCTCATAGAGAGAATTTTTTTTCTATCTGTAAATCTCTAAGGTATCCAAACTTGAATGAAAATTTGTGAATTTTTAATAAGTAAATATTCTTTTTTTCCATCTGACCTTGCCGCTGACTTTGATCACATAGAAAGTGCTCTTAGCTATAAAGTCAAGGGAAACAGAAAGTATGAGGAAGTTTTATTTTGACTGAAAAACTTACCTCAAATTACTATGTCAGCTATTTAATAAGTGGTAAAGTTTTTATTTGAGAAGGCAATTTTCAACATGGCCATTACCACTTACCACAATATGTCAGTTTTGTTTACACTTTTTAAACTATATAAAATATACTGTAAAAAAGAATATAAGGAGAAAATATACCTCACCATTTTGACTTTAGAATGAAGTCAATTTAATAACTGCATAATAATTGCTGACTTGACAATTTTTACTGAAGTTCTCTTCTACAAGCTTTTATGAAGACATTCTATGAATAGTTTTAACAAATGAAAATAGTGACTGGCAAACATGGATACTGTTCACATCAGGCATACAGAAAAAATGAATAATTCCCTCATGTCATCACTTTGACTATGAATCTTATAGTAGCTTTCACAAAATAATCAACAAGATTAAATAAAAGTAGATGGCTATTAAAAAAAAAAAAAAAAGAACATTCATATGAGATTGAGATTTTTATTCCAAATTTGTTATCACTTGAATCAACTGGTAATTAAGGACAAATGTTTTGTTGAAGAAATACCTAAACTCCAAAAAAATATTTTAAATAATATTTAAATTTACAATTTAAGAACAGGTTCTGGGAATCTCTCTAATTTTAGTAACTGGTGCACTGCACCACTGGCTGATGATTTCTGATTTGTCAGTCAATTAGTCATATTTTATGTAGGTTAGAAGATGTTGTTGTTATTATTATTACTATTATTATTATTATTATTTGAGGGAGAATGTAGTAGAATTGTTCAAGACAATACATATTTGCTTATCAGTAAACTTCAATAAACTCTATATATCAGCAAAGTTCTCCTGAATAAATGTGTTTAGGACAGATCCATTAATGATCATATCACATTCTCCTCTGGCTTATTCTTACAGAGGGAAGAAGTCACAGAATCAAGCAGGCATCCTTTGTGAGGCCATGGTGTATTGCCAGGAGCATGATGAGATTCTTCCACTTTCTCACTAGAACTGGATTTAATCCTGCTATATTTTCGTAATCTTCTATAAGTGGCTTGCTCATCCTCTGAAGTAATCTTCAAAAGGAGACCAAGTTTCTGTTTCTTTATAGTCAGTTGAAGTGTCCTAAGGACAGTTCTTGCTTAGGCTTTTGGGTCCCAATTCAACCTCTGCTGAAATCAAGCCCAGGGGTTCATTCTTATTCAGTCATGTGTGTCTTTTTAGTAATATCACTCCTGGTTTTGAGAGCCAAGATTGTAGGGACATTCCAGTCAAACTTCTAGGAAATGGGAGGAAGCATTTATAGGATGTAACATTCTAATTGCATGTAGGGCCTTTGGGAGTAGTTGTTCTCAATTCTTTAAAGTTACTCCATTATCAACAGCTGTTAGTTGAAAAGTTTTTCTCATTATTTTATTATACTTCTTACACTGGCCATTGCCTTGAGGGTTATAGAGTTACAACTACTCCTGGCTCTTGTAGGAATTGCTATATGCGTTCAGACATAAATGAAATCCCTCTGTTTGGATGAATATATGTAGGTAGCCTGTAAATGGCAAAAACTGAGCAAAGTGCTTGCATGACCATTGTAGAGGATAAATCAGGGCAGGGTATTGTGAAATGATACCACGAATATTTGTCAATTATTGTTAGCATATATTTGTTGGGGGTTTTTGACGGAAGTGGTTTTTCAAATCCAGTGTAATTTTTTCATAGGGTTGCATGGCTTTTATGACCTTGTTGGTGTTAGGACAGTAAAACCTAAGTTTATTTTCAGCACAAATCTCACACGATTTGGTGATTTCTTATACTGAGTAGGGAAGGATTTTGATTTTTGTCATGTGAGCTATGCATATAACACCTGGGTGGCACAATTCACTATGTAGTTTTTTAACTCTTCTTTGCAAGCTGCTGAGCTACATACACATGAGAGGATATCCACAGCTGTGTTTTCTTTACAAGGGTGGTATGTTACAAGTAATACAGGAGTTCCATTCTCCACATAGCTATCTTCTCTTTTTTAATTTTGTTTTTTGTTTTTGGAGAAAAAGGCTATGGGCCTCCTTGACTGTCTTAAAAAGAGGTGCTATGGTGCATTCTGATACATCTGTCTCTACTACCAGAGGTAGTGTATAATCAGGCATAGTAATGGCTGCTTTTGCTATGCCCCTCTTTAACATACTAAATGCTTTCTCTGCTATGATTGAAGTTTGATACTGTTGATAGAGGGTAGATTTTGTCTGAAAAAGATGATATCCAATGTCTGTAGAGTAGTTGACACCCTGTAGCCAGTAAGTGTCTAGAGACCATTTCATTTTTCTTTTTAATGTAGATTCTGTCCAATATTGTTAAAACCTCTTTGTAGGAAGATGCATTCACAAAATACCCGTAGACTTGTGCTGAGACATATTTGGTAAGATTGTGTAGCTTATCAGAACTTTGGTTGCAACACATACTCAAGAAATTTATGAAAGTTACTCTCCAGTGACGATATTCCACTTGGCATCAGACGCATTGAGTAAATTAGTAAGAGTAAATTAGCCATTCTCAAAATGGTTAACAATGACAGTTTATTAAATTGTAGTAGAATTATTCGAGACAATACGTATTTACTTACCAGTAAACTTTAATAAACTCTGTATATCAGCAGAGTTCTCCTGAATATATGTGTTCAGGACAGATTCATTAATGGGGGAGATGGAGCATACCAGAGAGAGAAGTAATAGCTTGTTATTTCAGGCTGTAGGGTGTTATTTATAAGTTTTGGTGTCGTAAGCCCCCAACTGTTGGTTCTTTATGTACAAAATGAGGATGAAAATTTAAGTCCAATATAAGATGTATTAACTTTTCAACCTATACATACTATGTAAATCACCAAAATATCTCAGAAGTCAAGTTTGTTGTATTCTGTTTTTCTAATGATGGTCAAATGGAGTTTACATGAATCAATACTATTTGTATGTCCAGTTAGTGGGACCAGAGCAGAAATATGAAGACGGTCAGAGAATGCACCAGCTGAAACATTGTGGTGAAAAGTGATATGAGTTCAAATAATTAATGGAATAATGACAATGTTTTATCTCAGAATATCAGACAGTGTTTGTTAATTTTATTTTTGTTTTTAGGCCCAAATCAACCTTCCTTCCATCCATCTTGTCGAATATTTGAGCTAGACCCTTGTGAAGAGCTGGGTAAAGTTTGTCTTGTTTTCAGAGATTGTCATTTGGGTAAGATTTTAAGAAAATATTTTATATGTAAATATAAAATATTCTCAAGATATGTTGGATTTTTTTTCTGTAAAATCTTTCTTTCTTATCCATTTCTTCTTTAGTTATAAACTCTTTCTTTTTACTGTTTTTAATTTTTCTTTTTTCATCTTCATTTAATTTTTTAATTGTACACTCTTTTTTTTTCTTCTCTCTTTTAGTTTTTTCTTCTCTTTTAGTTTTTTCTTCATTTTGTAGTTATTTCTTGCTTTCTTTGCTTTTTTCTTTAAGTAATTCATATATTAACATTCTCAATAGATGCAATATTTTAAATTCTATTTATATAACCAAAAATCAAATATAATCAAATCAGAATAATTTGGTCAGTAAATTTTATGTAAAAAATACATAAAAACTTACAAATTTGAGATGATCTCTAGGTTCATTTAATTCAGTAAAAAGTTCCTATTTATTCATCAAAGAATGGAAATTAAATGTCATATTATTCTTATACCTTTATATTTTTTATACTTTGTAATTGATAAACTTGTAATTGGTAAACATTGACTTTTAACTTCTTCAGCGGGATCAAACAATATTTTATCTTATTTGAACTTCATTTGACAGTTAATTGTAAATAGCATTACTATGTTGTTTTCTTTCTACAAAATTATGATAGGGTTAAAATTTACATACAATTTAATACCTATAGCTACACTCAAACTTTGTTCTGAATTTTAGAAGAAAAATTGTTCTATTTATTGATATATGCAATATTAATTTAGCAGTAGAAAATAGTGAACTAATGGTATTCCAAAAGAACTTCTATAATGATGGAGAGGTGTGTTAGTGGCAAATCAAATTCTCAAAATATTCCATGGTAATGTTTAAGGTGAAATTAGCTATTTCCACACAGGGAACATTCAGTATTCATTGACCAAACAGTGCTTCTGTCAGTTGAAATCTATTATAAAATCTTTTCCTTAAAAAACAGTTTTTCAGGAAATTAAACTTTTCAAGTCCACTGATGACTAGTAAAAATGATTCACTAATCATTTAAGGTGTCTGCTCATGTTTTTTTTATTTTAATGTTTTCTTTTTCAATTTCTTTCATTGCTTTAAATTATTTTTTTTAGCCTAAACAAAAGACTTAACCTTAGCAATATATTTCTTTCTGCAACAGTGTTTGAAGTACATCCTGAAGAAACTCATCATTTTCTTATCACTGAAGATGAACCAAACACCTTCAAATTATGAATGTTACAATATCAGATTTTTTTCTCTTTTGTTGTCCAATTGGTCATATTGTAGGATATTTTCAAAAAAACAGAATACGTTAAACTCAGTAAATCTCTTTTTAGGTTGCAGTAATATGAAAACAGAAATATGGTTTTTGGATCGATCACTTCGTTGGCATTTCCTTGTACCAACATTTACTTCTTATTATAGACTTATGTTGCTCTATCTTGGCCTGCCTCAATGGCAATATATCTTTACTGACATTGGATTATCTATGCAGGTTAAGGTAAGTCATTGGACTATTTATTCTTAGAAAGTATTCTGTGTATAATGTTCACATAATGGATTTTAAATAATTTTACAAATAATATTTTTTCTTGAAATCAAAGACTTTTTTCTACATTTTTGTTTTCATTTTTTAACAAAGCATTTTAGTCAATATTTTCCTTAGGACAATGTGAGCTTCCCAGAATTCAAGCTTAATATAAAAATTGATTGTTATCTTTTGACTTTATGTCATCTTTAATTAAAGATGTAAAATGATTGATAATCAAGAGCCATGTAACACTATAGTGTTGGAAATTTTTTAAGTGAATATAAACAAATGAATAAAGAAAAAAATCCATGGTAGATATTTAAACTTTTGCCTCACTTGTTCATGTTGAGTCTTAAATTTTCAAGTTATTTAAATTTTATATGTAACTTACTGGTAAATTACAGTTATAACTCTAGCAGATATTATTCACTTGTTTCTCTGATGCATTTACTAGTATCATACTATTACTATTTTAAACTATTACTACATGTTGCAACAACTACACAAATTCACAAAGCAATCAAGAAACCTTATTCTGTTAATTTTATAAATAAGAATAGTATACATAAATATGAAACAAAAGCATTAAAGACATTTGCATTTATGGCAATTTTTAATAAGTATTTTAAATAAAAATATGTTAAATTTTAATAGTTTTCTATACATTCTAAAAACAAAAAAACAATTTATATTACAGTTTCAAGCACAGTGTTAAGTGAATTAAAAATTATATAATTTAGAATTATAAAACTTGTGATTCTGGATTTAATCCAAAATTTAAATTGAGATAAATGACATTGATTTGTCATTTATTAATATTAGTTAACATGTTAATTTTTAAATTTTACTACATATTTTGAATATCATATATTCAATGGAGATAACAGAGATTTTAACATGAACTTTACAAATTTCAGTGAGCAAATGTTAAAGCACTTAAATATAATTTAGTAAAATTATAATTTAAATTAGTTCAGCATCACTTAGAAACAAATAAAATTCACATTTTATTCCGTTTATATATTTGGAAATAAAATAACTGAATAAAATGTAACAATTTTAAGTTTTATAATTTTTAATGCACTTGTTACTATATACCTGAAACATTCGCTCGAGTCTGTAGTGCATACAAAATTAGTTACAGAAAAAATAAGAATAGAGAAAAATATATCTTTAAGTATCAATTTCTGATTTGCTTGAAAAATATGCATGATTACCCCATCTAGTTTGTTAGGGGACTTCTCATAATACTAGCTAAGTGTCATTGTATAAAACACTAAAAAAGGAAAGGACAGCAACCCTATTTCTCTTTTCTCTGTCTCTTCAATCACAGGATGTTATAATTGCAAGATGTGTCCCATTTCTCTTTTTAGAACCCCAGGTAAACAACTTATTGTATACAGAACACTATACTATCAAGAAAACCTCATATAACCAAATATCACATAAATATGTATCCCAGTTCAACAGATTAGATAATGATCATCCAAACTGATGACTTTCATAACAAACTAGTAGCCTAATGCTATTACAAGTTTTCAAAGAAACATATATCAGACACTTTCTCCCAGTAGAAAATTAGTAGTTTGTTGAAGAATGGATTTTTCTCTTTTACTGTTATACTTAGTTATGTATATAAATGTTCTGTTACACTTAGTTGTGTTAGTAGAATGTAGAATAATATCTGAAAGAAAAGTGGAGATAATGGAACAGAGTGGAAAAGCTTTTTAATGACAAGATAATTTATTTTCAAGGTTTATCAAAAGTCTACAAGTAAGAATGATCTTATACACTTTTAGTCCCATCACAACAATAAAATAAAATTCAGCGTAATCATAGGCATTTACCTAAGAGCCTTTAGAATCTGTAGCCCCCAATTCCTGTACTATGTCAAATGCAAAACCTACAAAATCCACAAAAGAAAAATACAAAAATTCACAGATAATAATAATCCCGATCACCATAACAAAAGTAGGCACATAATTATATCTACCAACTCCATAACAGCTATCATAAAAAATAACTTATTCAACCTCAATCTAAACATCAACACCACACTAAGCGATACAGTTAACTCTAAACAATATAGCAACAGGACAGAGGAAAGAATATACAAAATAGATTGTACAAAATGCTCAATAGTGTACATTGACAAAACATCTAGAAATTTCATAAAAAAGACTATATGAGATATACTGCATAACAACACTGGTAGTTCACCATAATACATCTGACCACAGTCTAATCAGGAGAGAAATGGATTCACTAAGAAGAAAATACATTGAGAGTGTACCAATCTCACAATCGGCAACAATAAACCTAAAACCAGGACCATACATAATATCACTGATCATCGCAAAAGCAATAGTAGCACAATATGGTTTACAAACTGATAGAGACAAAATGAAGATTTACTCAGAGTGGGTTGATTTAAAATCTAACAGTTACCAATGGCTCTAATATATCAAAAAATACATTCTGGTCTCTGGGCATCAGGTCTGATGAGGTAATTTAATTTATTGTCTGTGACACTATTTAGCTATGGTAATTGGCTAACTAATTAATCATAGAAATTAAAAACGGGAAATACTTAAGGTGAGAAAGAGCTATACTGAAAGATAGACTGAGCGACATTAAAAAAGAAGAATTTATTATATTTACAAAAGGAAGATACTTTTCGCAAAAGACAGAAAATCAGTGAGAAGGAGCGAGACTGATTCTGTCAAATTAATTAATGTCACGATGAAGGAGTGACGCATCAAACGAAACAGAATTCTGAAAACAAAAAGTTGGCCAACGCATGCGGCCATAAAAAAATTTCAGCTTGAGACCACCCTAGAATTAGCTATTAATTATCTTTCAGAGATATCATTTAACTTCAATTCCTGATTCCAGCAAGGGAAGCCATCTGGTCTATGTACGAATCTTGACATGAAGAAAAAAAGAGTCGAAAAGGGGATCATTATTATTGCTTATTCAAACTGTTGACTCAAAAATGAGCATCTGGTGATAAGAGAATTTTAAGACATGAGAAAAATAAAGAATTTAATTGTCGGGTGGGCACAGCCACCCAGTTGAAGCTTAACCAGTGGAGAAGCCAAATATCGAGTGTCAACAATGATTAATGAGTCAGTAGAGGTCCGAGCTAAAGTGGATTTAGGATGTGATAAAAATTAATTGGCAATCTGGGAATTGTAAATGTTTTGGCTGAAGGAAAAAGAAAAAAAAATGGATTTTTTAAACAAAATTTTCGATAATAATTCTAAGAGGGCCAGTCTAGCCATGCCCACATGGCCAAGAGATCATTGCCTAACTGGTAGCATGGGTGATAGGTGGAGGTGAATGTATGAGAAAGACTGAGAAGTTGTTAACACCCATTGAGGGGATTGGTATGAGATACCAATGTGAGAGAGAGGAAGAGTCTAGGAGGATAACTCTCCTCCGACCTTCCCTCACGGACGAGGGAAGAACCCTGAAGTGGAAAGTGATTAATCTTCCAAAAATGGGAAGTAACTAATTTTCCTGGCCTAAGAACAAAGAGATTTCTTGTTGGGAATTAGGAATTGTCAAAGAACCCATATCATGACAGGGCCCCACACTGGAGTTGGTCGGTGTTGATATAAACAACCGTCTCGGAGCAGCTAGGCAGAGTTTCAGCAGAGCTTTTTGAGGCCAGACACAGTCGGAGTTACAGAGTCAGTGTTGCCTCGCAGAAGCTGACCAAAAGATTTTCACATCCTTTTCGACTTAGTCTTCCTACCAAAAGCAAGATTTTATTGACGAACGACTTAAGATACCATAACTCACTTAAGAAACGCATAAAGTGTCACAAATCCATATAAATGGGCCAGGAGAGAAACACACTCCTGTATTCAACAGATAGATAAAGTTAATTGTTATTTCTCAACATATTTGAACCTCGTGAGTTTGTTTTATTATTTTTCTTTTACTTACACTTGTGCGGTATCACCTTTACCCCAGATTTAGCTTGCACTACGGCCCGACGCCTGATTGATTTCGTCTACCTAAGATCAAAGTCACAATGTGGGTAGGTTAGACTTGAGATCAAAGCAGTTACTTCGGTGACCAAGTGTTGGAGGCGAGCTGAGAACGACAAAGTTGGTATCGGGAACAACCAGATCGACTGGTGGAAGAAACCTTACAGCTTCACGCCGCAACTGGGAGTTGACCACAGGCTCAAGGCACAGTGTTATATATTGATGTCGCAACCAGTGGACATCACATGTTGGAACTGGGCTGCGACTGCGACTACCAGTGGGTGTCACAGTCCCTCTTATACCAACACATTTTCCTGACACATAGTTATGTCTTTCATGCCAACTCGAGGATGCCAAACCTAACACATCATCGAACACTTTGTCCCATTATTTTCCCTTTAGTTCTATATATAAAATAAAATCAATGTATGTGTTGAATTCATTTATTTTGAGATTGTTGAAATTTTATAATGAATATCATTACAATTGATGAGTGTGATGTGATCTGAATATGCAACTACAACAAAAAGTTCCCCTATTACACATATTTGGTGTAAATGCATTCATTAATAAATCCAAAAGTTTTTATCATTGTTTTTGGTAATAAACTTATTTCTTAGTTCCTTTTCTGCTTTGAAATTTCTGTGTTCATTCTTTATTTTCTACTTTTCAAAAACCCATGTTTCAAAGTTTTATTTGGTTTCATGTTACTTAAAATGCACAAATTAGAACTACAATTTTCTCTTCTCTTTTATTTCACTTACTGATTATAAACAGCAATGGTTTAATTTGTATGTACCGAGTCGAGTACAAATGGAAGAGACATACAACCGATTACGAGGCCCAGAAGATAATGAAATAGTTGATGCTTTGGATCTTCAGATTTTGACTTTCAATCAACTTGATGTTCAAAAAGTATTCAAAGGAAAAGGAGATAAAAAGTAATTTTTCAACAGAAATTCTAACTTGAAATTTTGTTTTAAGAAAATTTATAACAAATTAAAATTTTTATACATCAATTTATTCAAATTGATAATTTCTCATTTCAGAAATTAGGATTAAAAATAAAAAAAAACAAAAAAAACTTTTAAATATAAAGTATCAAACTAATAATATTTACAATGAATATGGATTAAAGTAATTGAAAGTATGTTTTTTAGAAATACAAAGATAATCCATGTATTTGGATTTATATATATAAGACTAAATTGCACATATTTCATTTTAATGTTTTGATTTGGAAAAATATGAGAAAAAATATCAATAAAACGATATTTAATATCAGCAAGACCAGATAAAAAATATCAGAAAAAAGTAGCAAAGACCATTATACAAAAATTCATTCTCACATTTGTTTAAAATTTATTATCTTCAATGTTGAATTTTTCCTTTTCTTATCTTTAAGGAAGCCCCCGTTGCCTCAGCAAGTCAATCAAACAATTAAGAAGAAGACAGCTCAATCGAGGTATTATTTTTCATGCATTTTTAAGATTATTTCCAAATTTCATATAATTTTCTTTGCATTTGCACACTCTGAATATAATTATTGATGACATTTTTTATTTCAGTTTTTAATCTTAAACTCTATTTTGATTTGTATATTCATAATTAAAAATCAGATATTTTATAATTAAAACATAAATAAATATGTGTTGCGTTTATTATTGTAAATAATATAATAATGTCTAAATTAAAAATTAGAATCTATTCTATAATTCTAAAAATTTTAACAAAAGGAATTCAAGAAATACTGTTTGTTGAAAATATGTTCTACAGACAGGCTTTTAAATATATTAAATATTGACAAAGATATGCTCATATTTACACTATTAGGAATTTAAAAAAAAAAATAATGAATGCACTGAATATGGGAATGCAAAAATATTTAGTAACAGTTTTTTTGATAGGTTTAAATTTTTATACAAAATTGGAATTGTGATATTGTTAAAATTTATTGAGAATTAAAAATAGCTATTAACTAATACTGTTTTAATATATATTTCATTTAATATAAAGACATTTTTATGAGTGTGTATAATGTATTTATATTGTGCTCATGAAAACAGAATATTGTAGAGTATTATACAAGGTGAAAAGTTGTAAGCCTAATCAAGAAGCATTTAAAAAAATTGTTTAGTCATTTGATCAGATTTTAGGAAGTGGGTAAGATTGGGATCTTTTTAGCACCATCTTGCACATAAGAAGATTAAAAAAATAAGAAAATGAAAAAATAAAGACGTTTATGGTATAATTTAGTATGAGTTGAATGTAAATTGAATTAATTAAAATATGGAAATGTTTAATAAGTTGTGACTTGCCTAAATTGTTACACTGATTTTTGATTTATGCTGTCTCATTATGTTGCTTTGACCTCTTATAAATTTCCTTTTTTTTTTGTTTCCAGACAAACAGGTTTGAGTGCCTCCAGGTTTGCTTCTAACTCTCAAGCTACAACTTTCAAGAGTGGCAACAGATGATTTATTTTGAAAAATATTTGTTTCATTAATTTATTCCTTAATTTATTATATAATAAGCCAATTACACAAATCTTGGGAATACACAATGGGGTGTTGAAAAGTTCTTGGTCCATCCTACATCCTAAAATTTGAATTTTGTGAGGAGAGCTTCTTGATCAGGTCAACACCTCATACATCTATATTCAATATCATGTATATATTCATATTTTCAACATTCCATCACATGTATATGTTAAAAACACCATGGTAATAATACTTGTGTTAAACAGAAGAATAATAAAAGATACATACATTGATAAATATATTCATTTTTTTTAATTCCTAATGTTAACTCTATACAAGACCCAAGGTAGAAGGTTACCAAAGGCAGTTGCTGTGAGAGCATTAAGAGTAAGGAGTGCAGTTTATGTAGATCTGTGTGAAAGATAATGGTTAAACCTAAACTTGAAGAGATTAAGATTGTAGTAGTCGGAAAAGCATCCTCTTGGAATTCTGTTCCACAAAGCTACTGTTCTTGGGAAGAAGCTATTTGAATGTAAATTACACCTTACTAAAGGAATAGGAAGGGAATTAGTGTAGTTTGCCTCAATGTATGCAGCATGGCTGGTCTTAGCTAGGAAGGATAGAGTTGGAATGTAGTTTGAACATTTTCATGAAAATAGTGATAGAGTAGTGAGAGGCATTCAATGTTTCGTCTGTAGGAAAGGGGTTGTAAGGTGGAAAACACTTCATCACCCAAAAGGATGCAATAGACATTTTTGGACTCAATATTGTAAAGTGACGTCTGGGCAGCTCCAGCTCGGATATGGCAGCAGTACTTCATATTCAGCTTCTGGCTCTTGTAAAGGTAGAGTATAGTAGGAGGAGTCAAGTACTTACTGGAGTGGTATAGGTTACCAACTATTTTTCTAGCATCTTTAGAAATGGATCATATGTACAAGTTTCATTTGTGATCTGGGGAGAGCTTAAGTCCCATTAGGCATTCAAGTTTTGAGGCCTTCTTGAGGGAACACCCGTCCATTGCAATAGACAGAAATTTAGGGGCTGCTTGATGATGATGGAACATTACAAGTTTGGTTTTTGAGATATTGAAAGTGACTAACCAGTTTATCCACCATTGAATTGTTAAAGCTAGGTCAGACAAGATTTTTGAGAGGTACACCCATATTTTGGAGGTATCATCTGCATAGATACTCAAGAGATTGGATTATGCTCCAATTTCTTGATCATTAACATAAAGCAAGAAGAGGGTTGGACTGAGAAGTGAACCTTAGAAAATGCCTGCATTGATTTCATGGGCCTCGGATGACTGTTCATTACCTACTACCTTCATGGTTAGCAATGACTGGTAATTCTAGTGATTCCATAACTGGAGAGCTCATGTAGCAACCCTTTTTACCACATCTTGTCAAAAGCCTTTGATATATCTAATGCAGTCATCCTCATGATGTGTCTATTGTCTAATGCCTTGCTGATTCTCTGAGTAATGACAGTTGGATATCAGCAGTGGATTGAGCAGGTCAAAATCCATATTGTTTGCTAATGAAAAGGTTGTCACTGTTGAAGTGTTTGACAATTTTCTTGTTGATTATAGCCAAAAGATTTTGCTACTGACACTGAGAAGGCTCACCAGATCTCTGGCATGCATTATCATTACTTGAAGGTGTTCTTTCTGGTATTGAATTTGAGCTGTGAACGAACACTGACCTGCATTCTTGAAAACTGAGAATATGCTTGACACCCATAACCTTGGGGAGAATATTTCCCCTTTAGGTGATGGCTGAACAATTTTGATAGGACAAGATAATTCAATGCTAATATTTGTAAGGACAACCACTGGGATTTTATCTGGACTGGTAGCCTTCTTAGAGTCAAGTCTTTTGATAAGTCTTAAGACTTCCCAGGCATTGGTAGAAGTATTACTAAGTTTGTGCTGTTTTGAGGTGGGGGTGGTGGTGATAGCATTTGTCATCTAATATAAAGCTAGAGTTAGATATCTTTGTGAAGTGCTTTGCATTTGTATTGTAGTGTTACTGACTCATGGTAAATAGTAGGCACTCAACTACCTAATGGGTAATGGCCGTAGCTATTTATAGTCTTTATGACTTCATATGTAAATGAATCACTTCATTTCCCTGTACAGAAGAGGTTTTCTCCTTATTAACCCTGGTACTTCTGGGAGCTTTTGTCTCCTCACTATCTTCCTCCCTCACCCTAAGAGATTGTCTCGATATAGGAGATCTTGATCTTTTTTCATAGAAGTGTTCCTCCAATGATTGTTCTTGTGCATCTTCAGAATCTACATTATTCTTGATTTCACTGTCTACTTCTTCCTGCTTTACATGACACTTTTGCCTTCATTACTTTCAGGTTTGGTTTGGTTTGTTTTGTTTTACAGCATATCAACCTCAATGGGTTATTTAATACTGACAAGTGTTTTGCAATAGATTCATATGCATAGAATATATATTCTTTCTAATGAAACGGTTTGGAAATCAGTTTTCATTGATATACTTTTGTAAAGAGGGTTGTCAAGTCTGCTTTCATTGATGTATTCTTTTTAGATACACGGTTTGTAGAGAAATTGATTTTAACATTCTCATTTAGTTTATAATTTTTTGTAGAGTCTTACTGTTTTGAGAAATTATATTATTTCATCCACATTTACTTTCTTGAACAGCTCATACATATTGTTTATATTATAATATTTTTGTCTTTAGAGAGCAACATCTGAGCACTCAGTTAATATATGTTTAATAATATATGCTGTTTTACATGCTTGGCATACTGGTTGACCTTTGTTTAGTAAGTACAAGTGGGCTATTCTCATATGGCTAATGCATATGTGAGCCAGTACCACTTCTTCCTTACAAGATTTTCTGGGGGCTGACTTCCATTCTCCTAGATTGGCCAGAATTGCAAAGAGTTTATTGTGTGAGTTATCATCCCAGTACTGTTGCCATTCCTTTTTAATGTATTTATCAATAACCTCCTTAAAATCTGTGTATGGGATTTTGGTCCTTGTATCCAAATTCACATCTAAAGCCAACTTGACTGATAGATTTGCTTCATTATTACATTTAACTCTGATATGGCTAGGAATACAGCTTATTTTGATGTCTTTATGCTTGTTAATAGTGCTCATTTTTTATAATATTTTCATAAGTGGATTGTTGGATTTTTTTTTCCTTCAAAGCCAATAGGACGGATAGTGAAATTGAATTTTTTGTTTACTCTCCGAGACAATGTTGAAATCTAGCTCAATTGCATAAACCTTTGCTGTGAAAATAGAGCTTCCTTTTGGGAGGGGCCCTTTTTTGGTAATATTTTGGCTCACTACTGCATATCCTATCATGTCCTCACATCATTTCTTGTATATTTGTGAGTGTGGTGCCTAACTCTTCATCAATGGATTTCATCCTGAGTGTGTAGGTTTGTATAGCATTATCTTTTTGTCAGAATAGATTGCAGTAATTCAATTCGAAAGTAATGCTATAAGCTGGGTTGGTTGGACATGATTTTATTTTTACATAGTACTGTAGTGCCAGTTTAGTGCACCGTAAATGTGAAGGTGTTTCATTAGCTTCTCTATATAAGCTCTCCATTGGGGATGACACTGTTAAGTACTAAGCTCCAAGTACTAATCTGAGACCTTGATGATAGGTTGCATTGAAAATTTTTAGGTATGACTTTCTGACCACCCCATATATGAAACTAGCTTAATCCTGTTTTGTGCAAAGTAGTGATCTGTATAATTTGATCAATGTTAGTCAATCTGTTCCACATTCAATATAGGCCACTACATGCAGAAGTTGTAGGGCTTTGTTACATTTTGTTTTCAAATATGGGGAATGAACGTTAATTTTTTTTAACAAAGATAATGCCTAGAAACTTGTGTTGTTCCACTACTATGATTTCTATTCTGTCTAATTTTAAAGATGGGTCATTGTGCAATTTTCTTAATTTGCAGAAAATGCAGGCATTTGGTTTTTGTTTTGAAAAACATAAACCCATTTTTAGTGACCCATTTTTGTATTTTATTGAGACATTGTTGGAGTTGTCTTTCAAATGATATTCATATGTCAAGAGCTGTACATTAGAAAATTATCGACATAAAGAGAGCTTCTCACTCCTGGGCTTAGGAGCTAATTTTTACACAAAATAGAGTTTCTTGATCTTGCAGTTCTGATAATGTACTTTCTATACCAACTTGAAACATCCAGTCTTTCAGGAAACTTCCCATTATCTGAATCAGCACTACTCAAGTCCCAGCTCATGCAGATCCTTCAAAATACTAAACCCCAGTGCTGCACTGTACACCTCTTCCAAATCAAAAAAGACTGAAATGCTCTCACCCAATGAAGGCCTCCCCCACAAAGGTCTTGAGGTGCACTGTGATCCATGGTATTTCCCTCTCTTCCCAAGAGCACATTGGCAGTCACTGGTTTAGCTGCCAGCCCCCAGGCATCAAGTCAACTTGTTGCTGACCACTCCCTCCACAGCTTCACACAGGCAACCCACCAGTGCTACCAGAACAGGGATGAGGAATGTCTGCCTCCATCCAGGAAGCTGCCACCTGTCCACATGTTGTTACACAAATCCAGTAACAGTTGCAATGATTCACTGGACAATCACTCCATACCACCCAGTCCCACAGCTGCACTGCAGGCCCTCAAAGATCTAGTTTCTCCATAGTAAATGGCAGGCTGCAGCTCCCAGCGCCACCTGATCCAAAGTTTAATTTTTGCTTTTCTGCCTGAGCTTCAGAAACTACTGGCCACCACTCCTGACAGATGAGACCATGATTATTGCTTTTTGCCAGTTTATCAGCAATATCTTCCTTGCTGGCCACTCTACAGTTACCTATTAAGAGAAGTTCCATAGTGCCAGCATGACATTTACTAGCCACCCTCCCTATTATATCTCACATGGATCCTGTTCCTGCAGCAGAACCAAGTCTGCCAACACAATACCTCCAACATTCCTCTTTGCCTTCAATC